TTACAGGGACCTTCCGATTTCCGGATCCACAGGAGAACCGACTAATCCGGAATCGAGCCGGGTAGGACCACAAGGGCGGCAAAGCTCTCCTTCAAGAGTTTTTAACACTACTGCATTCCCAGGGCTCGAACACGACCACTGGTTAAACTGGAAGAGACTCAAGCCATCTCATCCAAGCGCTATTCGTAATTCTGACCCTTTTTATCTGACCTATCTCGTGACTAAGTGTGCCCAACATGCTCTCTATCTCTCTCTCTCTCTCTCTCTCTCTAATCCCACTGCATTTTCTTACTAAATATGAAAGCTTCCCTTATTCAGACCTTACAAGTTCTTACAGCTTTAGATATTTCATCCTAAAAAAATCAAATCTTTTTTTTTTTTTTTTTTTTTATTTATTTTTTAATAATTTTGGGTTTCTGGGTTTATCTGTTTTGGTGTATCCTCCTCTGCTAATATGATATGGATTCAAGTACACCTCTGCCTTCTTCTCTGTGCTTCTGCCTTTGGATTTATGTTAAATTTTATATATATATAATGTATTGATTGATGTTTATTTTCATGCAACAAAGAAAGATACTCTCTCTTTCAACCTCAAAGCTCCCATTTTTATACAAACCAAGAAAAATGTCATCTTCTTGTCTAAGTGGCGGTGGCAGAGCAGCAGCTGTATACAGACTCGAATCACTCGACCTGGACACGATAAAGTCACCATCTTCGACCTCTTGGATCTCCACCTCGTCTTCTCCTTCCTCCACTCTCTCCGAATCCAGCAACTGCCCGTTAACCATCTCGACTCGAAAGCCCCGAACGCCCCGAAAACGGCCGAACCAAATCTACAACGAGGCCGCCGCCATTCTCTCCACGGCCCACCCCAAACTGTTCCCCACAAAACCCAGCAAGCTCACCAAATCAATCCACATTAACAAAGATGTCGTCGCTCTCCGGCCCGACCCGCCCGACTTGCTCATGCCGTTTCGTGCCGTTGATCGTGAGTCGGGGTTTTTGCTGCGGGAGAACACTCAGAGGCCCGGTTTCTCGTGCAAGCTGCAGAGGGGATTGTGGCCGTTTGAGAGAATTTGTCTGAGCCCGGGGGAGATGGAATCGGATGTCGGTGGATTGGAGGATTTTGACGCCGAGTCGATCATTCTTGACGAGGAGATTGGGGAAGGGATTAATTGCATCATGGGGAGTTTGGGGGAAGGGGTTGAGTCGATTGAGGGCTTTGATGTTTGTAGTGAGAGAAATAGTAGTAATAATAGTGATAATTACAGTTGTTACTCTAATGGCGGATTCTGTTATGGGTACCCGGTGGGGCTGGGGTTCGGGTTTGGGTTCGGGCCGTGCGGGGTGAGGAAGGAGAGGAGGGATGTGGATGATGGGGGAGGCGACGATTGGTGGAGGTTCCCGAGCGTGAGCGCTCCGGAACCGAATTCGACGGCGGCGGCGAGAGGTGCAAACGAGGAGAAGAAGAAAAAGAAGAAGAAAGTGGCGGAGATTCGGGATAATACGGTGGCGGAGGAGGATGAGCTCGGGCCGCGGTGGAGTGCGGGCGGGCTGATGCTGAAGCTGAACTATGACGGCGTGCTGAGAGAGTGGTCCGACAAGGCGTCGCCGTTCACCGGCGAGGGCCCGGCGGCGGAGGCGGTCGCCGGAAATGATGTGCAGGTGTGTTTGCCTTTTGGGACATTTTTTTAAAATAAAATAATGCCATTAAATTGATGTGGCGCTGTTGATGGCGTGCCACGTGTTGGATATGTTGATGAATTTTAATTGTTTATCTATTCATTTATTATATATTTATTATTATTTTGTGAGAAATTAACTTTTCTGGGCAATCATGATTTCTGCATTATTTCAAGTGGGGTTCTATTTTTGCTGCTTTTAGCTATGTTTTTCTCTTTCTTTTTTCTTTTTTTTTT